AGTCACAGTTTGTTAATAAACCTTAAAAACTTTGCTTTATTGAGTATGGAAAAGGAAGCTTCATCAAGCCCATTTTAAGTCAAATCTATGCAAGGTTTCACCTGAAATATGAATCTGTGGTTCACAGCTGAGAAACAGCCTAAAGTTGTGTTTTTGGACTTGATTGTAGATTGACTAAATAAAACCACTATACATCTGTAAACACATTAAAATGATCATCGCATAGCTTCTCCTGCTAATAATGAAACTGTATGAAACTGCAGCTTTACAGGAACGTCAGCAGTGTTTGCAAATGAATAGATTTGGATGTTAACACAATTAGCATTAACACAGATGTAAAATTTGATGCTGTTGATGTAAATCTTTTAGTGTTTCGTAGTGATGATTCAGTAACAGTCGATGTATCGTAGTTAACTTCAATTACAGCTGTTACACTCTAAAAAATGCTGAGTTAAATACAACCCAGTGCTGGGTAAAATAGGGACAAACCCAGCGGTTGGGTTAAATGTTTAACCCAACCTTCTGGGTCAAAACAACCCAATTGCTGGGTTTGTCCCTATTTTACCCAGCACTGGGTTGTATTCAACCCAGCATTTTTTAGAGTATAGTTTACAAAGCCCTTCTGTTAAATTCTGACAACATGATCTTACATTAACTCTTACATTAACAATCAAACCCAGAATAGTGGGTTTAATAGTATTTGTCAAGGTTTACTATAAGAAAAGAAAAACACTCGTGCAGTGCTTCAGTAGACCTGAAAGAGCTTTTCAATTAAAAACAATGCTGTTGTCTAAAAGGAAAATAACCTCAAACCATAAACCACTATACATCTGTAAACACATTAAAATGATCATCGCATAGCTTCTCCTGCTAATAATGAAACTGTATGAAACTGCAGCTTTACAGGAACGTCAGCAGTGTTTGCAAATGAATAGATTTGGATGTTAACACAATTAGCATTAACACAGATGTAAAATTTGATGCTGTTGATGTAAATCTTTTAGTGTTTCGTAGTGATGATTCAGTAACAGTCGATGTATCGTAGTTAACTTCAATTACAGCTGTTACACTCTAAAAAATGCTGAGTTAAATTCAACCCAGCATTTTTTAGAGTATAGTTTACAAAGCCCTTCTGTTAAATTCTGACAACATGATCTTACATTAACTCTTACATTAACAATCAAACCCAGAATAGTGGGTTTAATAGTATTTGTCAAGGTTTACTATAAGAAAAGAAAAACACTCGTGCAGTGCTTCAGTAGACCTGAAAGAGCTTTTCAATTAAAAACAATGCTGTTGTCTAAAAGGAAAATAACCTCAAACCATGTAATACTGCCAAAACAAATACTGTAGGTTGCCAAAAAAGCACCACAAACATTTCACACATTTAAAACCCATGTTAGAGATCAGACAGAGAGCATTGACTGCCATGCTCCTCACAAACACACGAAACACACGTGACCTGAGCGTGTTTGGCTTCTCTTAACCCACTAAACACGACACGCAGTCACTTCAGGATTTATACGATTACTAACCCTACTACTAAGACATTATTTAAAGCATTTAAGGTAATATGTCACAGTTCTCCATCACGGATGCGCAGCCGTATGTCGTCCTGTGGTTTAGGTGATATTTGTTTGTTCTGTTCATTCTGTGTGAGGAAAAAAGGAGACATTTACATGATAAACTTTTATTGTAGTGTAAATTAATCATTAATTTGGCCACAAAAAATGAAAACATTTCAGACTAAATTATGCAAATTCATTCAGGAAGACATAATTTACATACAATCAAAAAACATACAGTCAGAGTGAATCTTGTATATTCGTAGATTACACAGAAACACACTAACTCATGTTTTAGAGAAAATATAATAAACTAAATAACACCAATATGCAGTCAACATTTTACCAAATTAGTCTGTCATAATACCCTCTAAAATCAATGTTGCTATTTAATGAGAATACTGTATATTTTGTTACAAATATATACTGTACAAAACGAGTCCTCACTGATGGGACAGAAGCACTAACTACAAAATCACAAAATGAGTGCGAAATGAAGGATGACAGAGTACTCAAACCGAGTCTAGACACGTTTGCTTTGCTTTGTCCTTACTTTATCTGCTCCTCTGAGCACCTGTAATCAATCAGGCAAAAGACATTGGACCAGTTATCATATTACACGAACTCTGCAATGACTTGAAAACGTGAACAGTTCTAGTTTAGGCTCACCATTGAAACCTTTATTGTTTTATTTATTCAGCTTTATTGCGGCTGCACCTCGTACTGAGAACAGCTTCTGATCAACACTAGCACTGATTGAAATCATGCTTAATTACTGAAGGCCAAGCCTCAAACTTAGAAGTAGATGAAGATTATGAAGGTTATCCTCCGTCGTTTAGAGAAGCTCAGCTGAGCTCACACACAGAAACAGCAATGACAGTCTTTCTGTCTGAAAATACTGACAGAGCGCCACCTAGTGATTGAAGGTGTGATTATGAAGTCTGAAGCTCCTGAAGATGACAACACGAAGAGAGATGCCTTTGTCATTTATATAAATCAATTTAGTTTAGTTTATTTGAGCAAAATGAAATGGGAATGTTCTGTAACACTGGGCTGTTAGCGATGGATTCTAATAACCCTAATATTTGTTCATGTGTGTTGAAAGTGTCGCTTGTTACGTACGCTTACTCATGTTAGGTGAAAGAGAAGTTGATTTCCAGGAATGAAAATAAACCTGTCACTGAGTCAAAAGAACTGCAGAATTCCTCTAAACCACAATCATAGTCTTTCAGCTGCCTGAGATTCTTTGAGAGTTTGCTGGTGTTGCTTCACGTTCACTATTAACTTCATAGAATCAGGGACGGTTAACTTTCACTTTGCAGGAAATAAAAGTAAACTGGTTGTTCTTTGCCTGTAAAATGTGTAGTAGATGTTTGAACTGAAAACAGCTGCACATAGCAATGGAAATATGAATCTGCACTGCATTATATATATGTATATATTAACTATTAACTCAGTTACTGAGGCCACTGGTGTCATTTGCAGGTGTTTGACAAGGATCCACATAGACAAGTCTTCACAGGATCATTTTATCACACTCATAGAGAATCTACAACATAAATCCTTTCCCAAACGAAAGCTCACAAGCTCATCAAGGCTTCAGCATCCAGGAAATAATCCAAAGGTGTCTTATTCAGTAATAATACGCAAACATGAGACTTGAGTCCTTTTAGAGAGCAGAGAAATGCTTCTTTGGCGATGGATCTATAGGCTTGCTGTTAAGTGTTTGGTGAATGTGCAAACTTGTCATATATCTGTAATGCACCTATAAATGTGTCAAATGATATAAAATCAGGCATAAATATTAGTTTCTCTTTATAAGTGAGCCATCTGTTTCACAACGAGCAGACGATACTTTAGGTGTAACGAGTTTATGACACAAAAGGGGTGTGATATTTCACTCATTTCTGAGCATACAAAAGGTTTGTGCTGCTTATCTGCTGTTGAATACTGAACAATAGCTGAGAACGGTAAGACAATTCATGCATTTCTCTGTCTCACAAAAACATATGTATTCATTTATTGTGTGGAAAAGTAAGTGTACAATGCACACTTTTCACAGACTGTGATGACACATTTCCAGTCACTTACAATATAAATCTAACAACAATAATTATTATTTTCATTTATAACTATATTTATTACCATGGCATTCAACAAAAAAAAATAAAAAAACAGTGCTGCTTGAGCGTTTCTCTCTTCTGACCAGAGTAAGGATTCTTTCAGTATTTTTTCCCCCTCTCTCTCTTTCTCTATATATATATATAATCACTGTGTTAATTTCTCTCTCTCTCTCAACTCAATTCATATTGCTTTATTGGCATGTCAAATACTTCAAAATACTTCCATATATATATTTATATAAACATTGATGGTACTACTAATGCAGATGTGTTCACTCTTTAACTCTTAGTTTGTGGCATTTATAAATATAATGTGCTACTAAAGAGGAAGCAGGTCCTTCACCAAGTAATATTCTTAACTTGTGGTTTTCAATGAGCGACTGGAAGTCAGGAATGCTCTGCTGTATTTGACTGTACAGTGAGGCTCTTAAGGAGGTGTATTTGTCACAGTGAAGGAGGAAGTGCTCCTCCGTCTCTACTGATCCTGATCTACAAAATGGTAAGAGTTGGGGTCACTCATTTTTAGGTGTTTCCAAAATTTGATGGCTCTTTTCTCAATGCGCATTAGTAGAGGGTATTGGCCTAATTCTGCCCTGCAGGCGTTGTTCGGTGTGCTCCTCTGTACTCTGAGGAGACTCTTACAGAACTCAGCATGCAGGGCTTCAATCTGATTTTTGTCCCATTTTTCGAATTGGTGATTTAGGAGAGGACCCCACACTTCACTGCCATATAATGCAATAGGTTCTATGACTGATTGGAATATTTTGAGCCAGATTCTAATTGGTATTTCAATTTGGATAGATTTTTGATGGCATAAAAGGCCCTTCTTGCTTTCTCTTTCAGTTCATTCACAGCCAAATTTAGCTTGCCAGTGGCATTTATCTTCAGCCCGAGGTATGTGTAGTTTGTGACATTTTCATTTTTGGTCACACCAAGGGTGAAGTTGTGTCTCTTTCCCTGAACTCTGGGTCTTTTCTGGAATGTTAGTACTTTAGTTTTGTTAGGATTAATCATCTCTCTCTCTCTCTTGGTTATTGGGGCAAATGGGAATGCAAAAATAAATAAATCCTGGAAATGTCCATAGTGTTTCAGATAATATTTGTCACGTTTCTCTGATTGTTTCTTTATAGAATCATTCTGACTGTAACCACCTTTCAGAAACTTTTTTTTCTCACTAAGCAAACCTTCCATTAATCATTTATCGTTGTTCTTTGTTTTTATATTACTTTATTATGTCTTTAGTCTGGATAAGGACACACCTCACACAAAGATCCCTATTCTAACAAGAAAAATACCCAATAAAACAGGACTGATGATGTACCAGTTACCTTCATATAACCCCAGTGATAAAATCTCAATTCCAGCTACATTCCAAACGTCACTGTCACACCTGGACATTGTGTGGTCTGATGTGTCCGAGACTGTTGGCTCAAAGATAAACCCTGGCCTAGCTAAACAGCGTCAGGCTGACTTTCTTAAAGGAGTCCCACCAAAGTGGCTGAACTTTTACCCAGCAAACTTACCACTGGTGGAAAGGGATGGATTTAATGGTTTAATAGAGTTAATTGAGAAAAGAAAAAGAAAATACTGTCTCATCACTGAAGTTTCTTTACGATACCAGTCTGGCAGTGGAGGCTCAACTCTCGCCATGCAGGTGCTTTGGCGTTTCCGGAAAGATCTCAGATGTGCCAAAGTGATCGATTCAGATCTAGACACCAAAGAGCTGTCGAAACAAGTGCTGGACCTTTTCCTGCTGCCTAATGAACAACATGCTGAACAAGATCGGAGAACTGTGCTGCTGTTACTGGACACCAAGGAAAAGATAAATGATCTGCCTATCAAGAAGGTTCTCTGGGAAGACCTGATTGAAGAAATACATAAGAGGGGCATCAATACGAAAACTCCAGCTGTGATCATTTTGAACTGCATCCCTACAGACTTCACTCTAAAAGACAAATTGATTCTTCCTCCAAACCTGTCTGAAGGGGACAAAAAACAATTCAAGGAACAACTTCTGCAACAGATCCGACTACAGAGAAAAGGCCACTGGAAAGTTACAACCATAAGTCTGTTGCACCACAAAGACAGCGGCGGATCAGCGCTAGCTAGTGAGGTACTGAGAGACTTGAGTGAAGAGTTCACATGTGAAACCCTGACAGAACCATTCAAAACAGATATTGCAGAAAATAAAGACGAGTTTGAGGAAGAGATTGAAAATATGGCAAATAAATTGCTCAGCATTTATAAAAGACCTGTGCTTCTCCTGTTGGATCATGAAGACGATAAGCCCCTACGGTACTTATTAAAGAATCTGCTGTCAAAGCTTCAGCACGCTTACCAAGCTGACCACCCTGCATTCATCATTATCAACGCTGTTAGCAAGAGCGCTGTTCGAGTGCCAGGCGATGTGAAGCTTAAAATGGAGCTCCTACCAGATGAGAAGCAGAGGTTTGCTCAGAAAAGGCAGGAGATTGAACAGAAATACAAGAAAATGTCAGATAAGTTTCATGCCTTTAACATAATGCAAGGAGGCTTCCAGAAAGAGGATGCTAAGAATTTGATCACAGATGAAATGAGAAAACATGTCGAGAATCACATAAAGTCCAGCAGCACAAGACTTCTCGGTTTTCTGGCTTTGATAAATTCATATGTCCCAGGTTCACGCTTGACGAAACCTTTATGCAAGGAATTCATCAAGCAAGATCGATGGACTGTTGAGGAAAAACCTTCACTGGAAATGATAATGAAGCCTTTCGATGATCTCATGGTCATTTTCTCAGAAGGAGAACAGAAAGCCAACTGCATACGCCTGGCACATCCACTGATTGCTGATGCGTGTCTAAACATGCTCACTGAGCACAAACTGACCAGATCTGACATCGCTCAGGACTTCTTGAAAAATATGGTTAAAGGAAAAGAGAGTAATTATGAGAAAATTTGCAAGAGCCTGTTAGTCACAAGGCCTGAGGGTCTGACAGAAAAGGACATGTTTTCCAGACTGATTCTTGACATCATAAGAGAAAATAATACTAACCAGTGCATTTGTTTGTTGGAGTCGGCTTCAAAATTGTTCTCAACCGACCCTTTCTATCCTCAAACACTGGCACGTTTGTATTACATTAAGGTACAAGGGGAAAACAAATATAAAAAGGCAAAACAATGGGCAAAAGAGGCTATTGATAGAGACTGCACAAATTCTCATATTAGGGACACACTGGGGCAAGTTCACAAAAACCACCTGTCACGGATCTGGAATAAAATAAAGCAGGAGAGGGGGAAAGTGATGAAACCATGCACAGACATAGACACACGTTTGGCCATGGCAAAGTCTGCCATTGATGCATTTGATGATGAAGAGAAGGCAGCTAAAGATGAGTTAGAAAACCCTAAGACCAAATACAATAACAGGGGCCGCTTTGGTTTTCTGCAGGTTTGCAAGGAGATTTATGATTTAAGGACCTTAATAGGTCCAAAAAATCCACTTAAACAAAAACACCTTGACTTCAATGGTCTCAGAGGTAGTGTTGAGGACAAATATGATTTCTTTGAATGGTATCTGGCATTCTCCAAACTGAGCTTTAAAGAAGAAGATCCAGACTACTTTCACAGAGATGTTGAAGATTGCTATAAGAGATATTTTACACAGGACACTCAGAATGAAGAAAAGACCCTGAATGAGAAAAAAAAGGAGTCTTTTGGAGGACTGCTTCATTTCTTAAAATCGGACATCAATGTGTGTAAACAAAACCTGAGTGCAAGTGAAAAACCCCGGTCAGACAATGAAGACCAAATCGTTCTCTACATTCTTGCCAACATCATCTTGAGTTTGTCGGGTGAGCCGTGTGAAAAAGCAGAAAAGCTTCAGGCCAGGTTACAGAAACTTTGGTTCAGTAAAGAACAAGGCAGAAGCCCAGAGTTCTACCTCTTGATCTTTCTGCTCTTTTGGCCTGATGATGCACAGAAAGCAAAGACTAACCCTCCAGACCTAGAAAACTGTGTTGAATACATGAGTCAGTCATACGAGAGCAAGTATGGGGAACACCTCCGCGGCCGCTACCTGGTGCCTCTGTTCTTCTTAGGGACAGAAGGAGGTTTGCAGAGACTGGTTCATGCATTAAAACCCAATAAAAAAGGTTTGCGGAGACTGGTTCACTCAAAACTGCATCAAACTGATCTGGAGCTCCTCACTGAAAGAGATGAAAGTGTGGAAGTCAAGTGTCTTCAGCGCATCAACGGGAAGGTCAAGAATCACAGAGTGTTTGCTGTAAGAGATGAGCAACAGATTCCCGTCTCTCCTCACGATCGGGCCAGTGTGTGCAAACAAGGACAGGTGTCTTTCTACCTGGGCTTCAACATCAGAGGACCTGTTGCCTACAACATCAGATATCATAAGAACTGTGAGTAAAGCAGTACTTTATATTCCAGACTCATAAAACACATGCTGTATTTGCCAAGCGTTTGTCAGTTTAAAGTTTGATTGTATTCAAAATGTAGAAAGTGCATATGAAATGTTTTAGTTTTATTATCAATTAACTATTTCATTCCTGTTTCTCTGCAGAGTTCATGGATCATTGAATGCAGTAATTCAGAGTCTAAATGAATCTAAATGATGTTCTAATGACACTGGCAATGCTTAGCAAGGACAACATTGAGGGAAATATGCTTTCTTCTCAGCTGAGTGTGAAAACAAGACTGTACAATATTGAGTCAACCTTTAACAAATCATGTTTATATGCTTATATCTAGTGTGATTATATGTGAATTATACTACATGTTTACTACATTAACTCCTTGACAAAAGACTGTGGGACCAAATTATTCTATGTACTCAAATGTCCAGGACAAATGTAAAGCATGATCACATCTATGACTCTTAGTCTTCATTCATCACACCCGGTCCTTGGGTTTAACTGTATATTCCCCTACACTTTTTAAAGGTATACATGAATACAGAACATCATGATCTACCACTGCTTTCTTTTGTTCTCTCATCTCACCTGTAAGAACATCACGTTTGGAGCGACTGGACAGCTAACATGTAAGCGGCAAACTCGCTCTGCATCGCTAATCGGATCTTAAAATGTCTTCAAAGCGTGCTACAGTGATCGCAGTTGTGCCATCCTCATCACTCGCGGTCGCTGACTTGGATTTCTTCTGAATCGAAGAAGATGACGACAATAAATGCTGTTTCCGATTGTGTGCCATCTGGTAAAGCAACATTTTTGAAGAAAACTTAAAACCAAAAGAAGAGCAAAAAGAGGCCAGGTGTCTGGAGCTCTACTCGAGAGCATGTCACGTGATTCCTTAAACCTGAGTAAGCTTTTGTCACAAACAATACATTCAAAACACGTGCCATGTAATTCATGTGGGAAATATAAACACTGCGCATATTCTGCTAGTCTTCTACTAAGATTGTAATAGAAAATAGACATCACTGGCTTCAGTAAACGAGAAGTGACCGATATTTTAGGGCAATATTTAAATAATTTAATCACTAAATAAAAGCACAGAGACATTTGTAAATTATATATACAATATATCAGAATTGCTAATAATCAACCAGTTTTAACACACATAGGCCTATCTAGTTTTGCAAGTCTTCACCCCTTTTAATAATCTGCATATTCATATTTCCATTTAATAAGCAACACGTTATTATTATTATTGTTATTAAACAAAATTAAAGATCAAGTGATATTTCTCAATTTAAATGAATCACTCAGTTAAATAGAGAAGCACTTTAACTGAAATCTCTGTAAATGAGAGTTAAGGCTTGATCTGGGATGATAAAGGACTGGTGTATTTCTAGCAGAGGACAGGTGTCGTCGGACATCTGTTTACTGTGTGCTGTTTCTTTCATGTATATTTTAGTAACATCTTTTATGAACTGTTTTTGAGTTGTTTATTGAAGTAAAAGAGGGTTTTCAGCAACACATCAAGAGTCTGTGATTTATATGTTTGTTCTATAGGCCTAGCCATTCTTTGTAATAAAACTAAATAAATAACAAGTGATGTATAATTTGGTTTTGGGCTGCAACAGATAAATATAATAACATTTATTGGTCTTATATGTCCTCACCAGTGTCAAGATCACCAATGCTCAAGTGCCTTACGGTCTCATCGTGCCCCCGGAACGTGATTTATACTGAGACGGGCTCCAACTCTGAGAATCAGCATCAGAATCAGAAAGAGAAAGAGCTTTATTGTCAGGCATGTTTTCAGATACGAGGAAATTATTTTGGTAATAAAAGCTTATTTTTAAAGACTCTTAAAGAATCAGTTTTCGGCTCAAAGTTATGAAGTCACCTACATTCCGATTTTCACTTCTTAAAACGTGTTTCAGAAATATTGTGTCACCGTTGACCTTCAAGCACAAACAGCAGCATGAGCTCTTTCTGCGGGAGAGAGTGTGTGGCTCTGAGAAGAGCCGTTGGGGTGGTTCTGCTGCTGGACGGCGTTTATCCTCCGAAGCCGTACAAGGTGCGTCCATGGCGGTGACGGTCTTTCTCTTGGCGTGCTCGGTGTAGGTGACGGCGTCGTGGATCATGTTCTCCAGGAACACCTTCAGCACACCGCGGGTCTCCTTGTAGATCAGCCCGGAGATGCGCTTGACTCAGGCTGCCTGGCAGACATCTCGGCATGGATGAAAGAATATCACTTACAGCTCAACCTGGCAAAGACTGAGCTTCTTGTCTTCCCTGCCACTCCAACTCTACAGTATGATTTTTCCATCCAGCTAGGTTCTTCTACAATTACCCCATCAACTTCGGTCAGAAATCTTGGTGTAACTTTTGATAACCAGCTGACCTTCAAAGACCACATTGCAAAGACCGCTCGATCTTGCAGGTTTGCATTGCACAACATCAGAAAGATCAGGCCCTTTCTAACAGAGCATGCTGCACAACTTCTTGTCCAGGCCCTTGTCATCTCTAGGCTGGACTACTGCAATGCTCTTCTGGCTGGACTTCCATCAAGCACAATCAAACCTCTACAAATGATTCAGAATGCAGCGGCACGACTGGTCTTCAATAACCTCCACATCCCAGCAGTGTGTTCCTGAGTTAAGACCCTTCGAACCAAGAACACAGGAAAAGCAGTCAAATCGCTCTGGATTATCAGGAAGAGGTTGTTTGTTAATGCTGTTTCAGACAGGACGAGATGTGGATTCGCAGTGTTTGGATCCAGAATCACAGGAGCTGATGAGACACAATCAACAGATGCTGTTATTCTGATGTTCATATAATGATCACGAGTGAACAGATGTTCTGCAGTTAGACTCACTGTTCTGGACGATGTCCTGCATCTTCATCCAGACTCTGAATGGCAGCTTGCCCAACCCTGCACTGGCCCTTTATGGGCCCACTTAGGGCTAGCCTAAGGGCCCCCAGTGGGCTGCCAGCACAGGACCTCTGAGATTTTTCTCATTGGCAAAACGTTTGCCCCTTAGTGCTGGACCTGCACGTGCAGCCCACACTTAGCCCACACTACTAATCTACAACAGGGGTGCCCAACATGGTCCTGATCAAACACAACTGAACCAACTAATTAGGATCTGAAGGAGCACTTGATAATTACAAACAGGTTTGTTTAATCAGGGTTGGAACTGAACTCTGTAGGAAGGTAGATCTCAGGAACAGGATGCACCCCTGATCTATAACAATACATCCGTTCCATTTTTAAATACTTTCAGCTACTATAAATTAAGTATTTGGGAAAAACAGTTATTACACTCCTGAAATGGATGCAGTCACCACATAACTAATGTCTATATTGTCAAAAATGTACAGTAGTCAAAAGGGATTTCAAATCAATAGATTTATTAAATAAATCTGTCTAAATGTGTCTTGGGGAGGGGAGGTATCCAAAGCACATCAACTTGTCACTGGGGTTCCTCAGGGATCAGTTCTTGGACCCCTCCTCTTCTCCATATACACAACTTCACTGGGTCCCATCATACAGGCACATGGCTTCTCCTACCATTGCTATGCTGATGACACACAGCTCTATCTCTCGTTTCAACCAGATGATCCAACGGTAGCTGCACGGATCTCAGGCTGCCTGGCAGACATCTCGGCATGGATGAAAGAATATCACTTACAGCTCAACCTGGCAAAGACTGAGCTTCTTGTCTTCCCTGCCACTCCAACTCTACAGTATGATTTTTCCATCCAGCTAGGTTCTTCTACAATTACCCCATCAACTTCGGTCAGAAATCTTGGTGTAACTTTTGATAACCAGCTGACCTTCAAAGACCACATTGCAAAGACCGCTCGATCTTGCAGGTTTGCATTGCACAACATCAGAAAGATCAGGCCCTTTCTAACGGAGCATGCTGCACAACTTCTTGTCCAGGCCCTTGTCATCTCTAGGCTGGACTACTGCAATGCTCTTCTGGCTGGACTTCCATCAAGCACAATCAAACCTCTACAAATGATTCAGAATGCAGCGGCACGACTGGTCTTCAACGAGCCCAAAAGAGCCCATGTTACACCTCTCTTTATCTCCTTGCACTGGTACCGGTTGCGGCCCGAATCAAGTTCAAGACATTAATGCTTGCATATAGAACAGCCACAGGCTCAGCACCCGCCTACTTCCACTCACTACTACGAATTTACATCCCCTTCAGAAGTCTGAGATCCGCTAGTGAGCGACGCCTCGTGGTGCCATCACAGAGAGGCTCAAAATCACTTTCCAGAACATTCTTGTTCACTGTTCCTGGCTGCTGGAACGATCTTCCCACCCCTATCTGGAACGCTGAATCCCTGACAATCTACAACAGTCGAAAACTCATCTTGACTTCATCCTAAATTAAAAAAAACAAAAAAAACCCCATCTTATTTATTCCTTCCATTTCTAGCTTGTACTTATTTGAACAATGTCTAAGAACTTGGTATTACAACCACTTCTTGTGTCTGTTTGCCTCT